CGGTCGCGAGGGGAGAGCCGGATGCCGGGACCCCTCCCCGGGGAGATCGGGGCGGGGGGAAGCGGGTTTAGTGCTAAATGTGGGGGTTTGTGTCCTTTCGTGCCCCCAGGAGCGGAGCCGCGATGGCCTTGAGAGGCGGCGCGCGACCCCCCGGGCTGAGGTGACCGGCCCAGGCCTGGAGCCGGCGGGGCTCGGCCGCCTGGTGCTGCCCGGGCCCGACATGGGGAGGTGAGGAGCTGCGGGAGCGCGGGGACACGGAATTGCGGTGCCCTCGGAGGGCTGCGCGGGGCCTGGTTGCGAATTCACTGCGAATTGCATATCCCGAGGCCACAAAAAAAAGCTGTGCCAGCAGAGTGCAGCCTGGTGTAAAAAAAAATCCTGGAAAATCTCTCCTTCTGCGTTTTTTAAAGAATATTCTGCAATTTGTTTTATTAGAGTCGGTTTTGAAACTAGATTGCCCTCTCTGAACTCCAGGATCAACATCTCGTGTCTGCTCCCTGCCTCCTGGCACTTCAGCATCTCTCCCGTGGGGTGTCCGCGGGTCCTCAACACCTCCCTGCGGCAGCTCCTGGTCGTTGGGGTCCTCGCCGCCGCCGCCTCCCTGCTCTACTACTCCGTGCTCGTCCTCCGCAACAAGTACGGACGTGCCTACAGGGATAAGAGGTTCCACAGGTGAGGAAGGATGCTCTGCCCCAGAGGAGGGGTTTGGTTTCCATTCCACAGATTCGTGTGAGGCTGCTTGCAGGTGGGACAGGCTCCATAGCACAACAAAAATAGGACAGTTTGAGTGTGTAAGACCTTATTCTGGAAAGGACTTTCATAATTTTTTTGAAAATTTGCTCCTTTGAAGCAGCACTTCCCACCCTTCACCAGGGTAAAATGCTGATTATTGTGCAATCCCCCTGTTAGGGTGTTTTTAATCTACTATTAAGAAAAACCTGATGCAGAATTTGAATTGCCTCGTTTTCTCCTAGGTATCTTGCCCGGGTGACGGATACTGAAGCTACCGACACGAACAACCCCAACCTGAACTATGGGATCGTTGTGGATTGCGGCAGCAGCGGCTCCAGGATCTTCGTGTACTGCTGGCCCCGACACAACGGGAACCCGCACGATCTGCTGGACATCAAACAGATGAGGGACAAGGACAGAAAGCCAGTGGTCATGAAAATTAAGCCAGGTACCAGAAAGAAGCTAATTCTTAGAGTTTTTTTCTAAATAGTTGCCCCTCTCGACTATGCTTTTTCAGAAGCTGTATTTAAAATGTCTGGGTAAGGGAAACTTGAGCGGCATCCTCGGGTTTCTCTGCGTTTGACTTGCACAAAATGTTGTTCAGTTTTAGGGCTGAAACGTGGCACTGACGAGCAGGACGAAGAGGGCTTCTTTGTACACACAAAAAGCTGCCAGTTTGGTGCTCAGTTTAGTTCTCAGTACATTAATAAATAATCAGCTTTTTAAAAAGTCATCTGAGCCAATTGTACAAATAAGTAACTATATAAAACAGTAATACAAGTTTCTGTTTAATGTTTAGAGATGAATCACTGTTAGTTTTATCCTTTTTTTTGTTCGTGTTGACTCCCTGTGCTTGGCTCTGGGTTGTTTGTTCCTGTTGAGTGTGCTGGTTATCAAGCTGTGAGGCAGGAACTACCTGAGGCCTGAGTTGCTTCACTTTCATGCTTATTTTTTCACTAGGTATTTCCGAGTTCGCCAGCTCTCCTGAGAAGGTCAGCGACTACATCTCTCCACTTCTGAGCTTTGCTGCTGAGCACGTGCCCCGTGCAAAGCACAAAGAGACTCCTCTGTATATTCTCTGCACTGCAGGAATGAGGATTCTGCCAGAAAGGTTATCGGTCATCCCATTTTTAGCATTTAGACACCAGGATCACTATTCTGACTAATCCTAACTGTTCAAAAATGCTGTTTTGCAGCCAGCAGAAGGCAATACTGGAGGATCTGCTCACCGACATCCCTGTGCATTTTGATTTTCTGTTCTCAGACTCTCATGCAGAAGTTATTTCTGGGAAACAGGAAGGTAAGTTAACATCAGAAAATTCTTTGACATGTTTATTCTTTTCTTGCTACAGCTTGAATAATTTTTTGATTACTTTTTAAAACTTGAATTCAGTTGAGAGATCTGTTCCTCAATAACAGTAGATGGTGCTGTGTGCAGATCACCTTCTTCTGTAATCTTTGACCTTGTCTAAATGTTTTCTAATTAGCGGTAAACAACACATCGGAGCAGTGGGTATGGGAGAGCAAGTCAAATGCAAAATATGAGGCACTTCTGAAACGCTCCTTCTTTTCTCCCCTTGTGTATGTAGGAGTATATGCGTGGATTGGCATCAACTTTGTTCTTGGAAGATTTGAGCACACAGATGATGGTAAGTATCTCAAATGTGAAGTGGATTGTGGGAAGGACTTTGGATTTGTTACTGCTCTGGTTTCAGCGTCGTTGGGATGTTTTCGGATGGACCCATCGGTGCAAATGCTGATACCAGCCCGGTTTTTATGGGAAGCTTCAATGATCTTTGTTGCTACAGAAACTGGGGGGTGCTCTGAGGACAGCGCTGCTTTGGGTTCATCCCCGTGATGTTTCTCAAAGGATTTTTGTTGTTTTCTGCAGAGGATGAAGCCGTCGTGGAGGTCCACGTGCCAGGCAGTGAGAACAAGGAGAGCATCTTCCGTAAGAGGACAGTGGGTATTCTAGACATGGGCGGAGTGTCGACTCAGATAGCATATGAAGTCCCTAAAACTGTAAGCTTTGCCTCTTCACAGCAGGTTATTATCTGTGCAACTTTCTTCTTTTCTTTTTGGTTTATTTTAATGCATATGTGTTCTTTTTTTTTTCTTTTTCCTTTGTTTTGAGTCTTGTTCTTCATTACATCACATCCCAACATGGCCAGAGACGATGACAGATACGAGTCCTTCATGAGCTAAGCATTTCATTTGTATTTTGTTCGTTCAGAAAGTTGATTTTAAATCAGTGTAACTCATCAGCAATTTTTAAGTTTCCTTGAATGTGCATTCTTTGTACATAAATGCATATACATTTTATCTAACTGCGCGTTTTGCTTAAGAGTATTGTGGAGTATAGAGACCAAAACTAGCATTTCTTTTCCATTACTGCATATTTTAATAACTGCTCTGCCTATTTCAGACACATGCCATAGCAAACGCTGCTAATCCAAAACAGCCATGTGTTCAGGTTCTGAGCAGATTGTCACAGTCAAATGTGAATTTGGAAGTAAGAGTAGGAAACAATTGATGATGGCTGCTATATGACCCTGTCTGAGCATAAATTCATTTAAACAATGCTATTTTCAACCTGAAGAATTTGGTGTTTTAACCTGACAGAGAGTGGGCATCAACCGGCTGTGCTCCTCTAGGGTCCTTTTTCTGTTCCTCATTTCCCGAGTTTGTTGGAAGCCCTGCAATGTTTTGCCACTTTCCTGAGCGCCTTCTGCATGAGGTGCTGCTGCTGTGCGTCTCTTAAAATGTTTTATAAGCTGCTTCAACCCACTGGCGTATGAAATGCGAAGAGAAGTTGGAGACTGACAGAGGTCTCCTGAAAATCTTGAGATCTCTGAACTGGAAAACTAAGCCAGAGTGACTGCTGGCCAGCAGAGCTGACCTGTTTCCACAGTCTTTCCACAGTCTGTGGCACTGGGAAGTCAGTAGTAGCATCACGGAGCTTACCAGAGAAGAGAAACCTTTTTTCCTAGGAATACTGCAGTGCCAGTAGTCATGGTTTCAAGTTCCTGCCTTTTCAGTTCCTTGGGTATCAGTAGCACTGATAGAGTCCCTGCACGTAGGCTGCTCTGCTCTCCTTCTAAAATAGAAGGTCATATGGCCCCGTGGAAAGCAAAAGAGATGAGTAAGGAATGAGGCCCGAAGATCCTGAGGCATCTGGTTGTGCGGCGGGCCGGCCTCTGGGTTCGTGCTGTCATGGCTAATCGTGGTGCTCGTGTTTTGCAGGAGGAGGTAGCCAAAAACCTGCTAGCAGAGTTCAACCTGGGCTGCGACGTGCACCAGACCGAGCACGTGTACAGGGTCTACGTGGCAACGTTCCTGGGCTTCGGAGGGAATGCAGCTCGCCAGAGATACGAGGAAAGTCTGTTTGCCAGCGCCGGGCTCAGGAACAGGTAACCGGCTGCAGGAGCCCGGGAGGTGGGTTCCGTGCAGCACCAGGCTCAGCAGGCTCTGCTTGGGTACATGTAGGAAAGAGTCCTGGAGGGGAGCTCGGATTCCACAGCTTGAAATGCTGAGCCCCCTTTCAGCGAGGTTGTGTTTCTGTTCGTGTGCTGAAATATCTCGGTTTGATGCCTCTGATCTGCAGTTGTTACAGCTGTGCGTGCTCTCGTATACAGGCTGCTGGGCAAACAGATTGGTGTGACTTCTGATTCACCCTACCTAGATCCTTGTCTGCCCCTGGAGGCTCAGGATGAGATTAAGCAAAACGGACAGAAAATGTATTTGCGTGGAACAGGAGACTTTAACCTGTGCCGTGAAGTTATCCAGCCCTTCATGAACAAGACCAACGAGACGCAGACGTCGCTGAACGGCGTCTACCAGCCCGCCGTGCACTTCCACAACAGCGAGTTCTACGGCTTCTCCGAGTTCTACTACTGCACCGAGGACGTGCTGCGCATGGGGGGGGATTACGACGCTGCCAAGTTTATTAAGGCTGCAAAGGCAAGTATTCTGGAAAGAAACCCTTTATTCCAAGCTTGAAAAGCTACCCAGAAAAGCGTTTTGTTCTGAGACTCTTGCAGCAAAATTGCTTTCGCCCTGTATGGAATTAGCACAGGGCATCTCTTTGCCTCATTTGGGTTTTCTTTTAAAATGCTTGTTTTAAGACACAATAACAGAATTGACTCAAGAGGGAACAGGACTCCTAGTGAAATTGCAGAAGCAACATTGAGGTGTTTATTTGTTTTGTTTTTAAGGATTATTGTGCCACTAAGTGGTCCATCTTACGGGAACGTTTCGACCGTGGTCTTTATGCCTCGCATGCTGATCTCCACAGATTGAAGTGAGTATTTGCGTTGCTCGAGCAAATTCAATCATGCAGAGTTGCCAAGGAGAGGTCATGTCCAAATGATCCACTTAATGAAATCATTGCAAGTGTGAATATAACCTTAAATATTGCATCAGCCGTAAATAATTACTGATAACAATGTAATCTAAATGTGCTCCACAGTCCTTTGGGACTCTGTAACTCCTGAGAAACTGGATGCCTGACTCTCTGCTACTTTTTCTATAGGTACCAGTGCTTTAAGTCTGCCTGGATGTATGAAGTATTTCACAGTGGCTTCTCTTTTCCTGTGAGTTACAGCAATTTGAAAACAGCTCTGCAGGTTTATGACAAGGAAGTGCAATGGACACTGGGAGCCATTCTTTACCGAACACGGTTTTTACCTTTAAGGTACCACTCATTTTCTTAAACACCTCAAAATTAGTGTTTGGGTGGATGGGATGAGACACAGCACCGCGGTGGCAGACAGGGGGAGACAAAATGTTGTTTCTAGTCGTTGATATAAAGTGCCCATATCTGAGTGCCTGTGCCAGGCAGTTCTGCTGCTTTTTGATAAGACAGGCTGCCTTTTCTTGGATGATTTACCTAATTTATGTCTTTGTAATTTATGTCTTTCCCTTTGACTTTTCAGAGACATCCAGCAAGAAAACTTCCGCGGAAGTCACTCCCACTGGAGAAGCTTCTCCTTTGTTTACAATCACTACCTGTTTTTTGTCTGTTTTCTGATCGTGCTGCTCTCCATCCTGCTCTACCTGCTGCGGCTCAGGCGGATCCACAGGCGGATGCAGCGCAGCGCCTCCTCCCCTTCCCTATGGATGGAGGAAGGCCTCCCGCCACAGAAGATCCCAGGAGCCTTGTGAGCTGCTCGGTGTGGAGAGCTGCTATGGGACTTCCTACAGAAAAAGCCATTTTTGCCTCAGGGTTTCTCCTTTTCGTCCCTTTAAATCACGGAAGAATCAGATTGCCCCAAGTGCGGAATTCAGCTTCGGAAATGTGGGAAAACGGGGTCAATTTGGCTTAGCCTCTTCAGACATTATCCGCCAAATTTATTTTTTTTAATAATGCACTTTTGTGTGTAATGGAAGAGTGAAGATTTGATGCCAGTAAATGAGTAGCTTAAGCAATGTATGGCAAGAGAATGAGTGCAAATTCTCATCCTTTGGGTGGGATTGTGAAATGTTATTAGGATGAGTGAGGATTTTCTTCTTTTTCCTGATCTATGCTTGGTATTTGGCTTCTCAATTCTCACTGTCCCCAGCAAAAAAAAAAAAAAAAGCAAGCACATGGTTTTCAAAAGCAGCAAAAACCATCCTGTTAGGACAGATTTTCTGTTTTCAATCCTGAAATAGGTACTGTGATGTAGAAGAAAAAGCTATCGCACCCAGTGCTGTGCTTCCATAAAATTGCTTCAATCAGTTTTGTTTATTTGTGAGAGTTTCACCTCTGTCTTGGAAGCTATATCCATATGGTGACAAAAGTCACTATTTTTAATTCTTATTTCTGTTTCCTAATCCTTCAAAGATCTCCCTGAAGCACCAAGAAGGTGAAAAAACTGGAATATGTCTAGGCTTTTGTTTCTGCTAGAGTAGACATGCACAGTGACTTCTTTTATTGTTTCTGAGTATTCTGATTTGTTAATTTATATTTTATTTAAAGCTATTTTACTTGAAAATATTTTGTCCATGATTAAAAGTGGGATTTATATGAACTGTGGATGGATATTTTTATTGCATAATACAAATCATTTCTGCTTTGACTGCTTGTATCCAACTGGCAAAATTCACCTAAGTGAGTATAGAAGGATGATGCTCCTCTTGCTTCCGAGGTCTGGGACTGCGGTGCAGATGTAGGAATTATCAGAAAATCGACTCTCCTCGAATGCTGTGTTTGTGCATTAACAGGCTTTGTTTTCCTCCTGCTTCCCCCGTTTGCTCCATCCTTTCTCCGTCTCCGTTAAGGACAGGTAAGACGTGCAAGAGAAGCGTAAAAGCCAGTGCAGGGCCCTATGCTTTGGCCTTCCCGGTGACCTGGGGTGGACAGAGAAGTGACACTGCAGCCTGGGGCTTGGCGGCCTCCTGAGCGTGTCGCTCCTCTCTTCGTTGCTGAGTTTTTGTGTGTGGAAAATGCCCAGAAGGGAGAGGAGGCGCCGGAGGCTGCTCCAGGAGCCCCGTCCATCCGGAGGCCCCGCGGCCGCGCACGGAAACCAAAGAGGTTTCTGTCCTGGAGCCCTGGCGAAGGGGACCATGCTAGGCCTGGCCGCGGGCACCTTGTCCTTCTCGTCCCATTGTTCCTGCCATTGTTGCTACTAAATAACGCATGAAACGCATTGAAAGCTGCAGCGGGGACTTGCGTGTCCCTCTGCCTGGGCACCCGCCCCCGTGGGACCCGCTCCGACCCGCCTGCTTTTCCAGGTCACCCTCCCCGTGTTCGGAGAACGGGAGGACGGTGCCGCCTTCCTCACGTGCTCCGTGGCCTTTGGGCTGGTGGGAAGCGGCGCTGGGAAGGCTCTTGGGACGGGGTTGAGCAGCGGTGCCGCTATCCCGTGGCTGAACTGCAGGACCCTGAGCTTCGAAACGCGGTTGCTGCACCGGGCAGCACACAAATACGCACGAGGTGCAAGCACACGGGCCATACAGACACCCCGAATCCTCCTAAACCGCTTCTGCTTTCCAGGGTCCTGCAAGCTCCCGCCTCCGGATTCCCTGCGTGCCAAAGCCGGCAGGACTCGAGTCTCCAGCTCCAGCTGTTTCCTCCGCCAGGCCCCGTGCTCTGGCTCCGCTGCCCCACGGGCCCTTCTTGCTGTGCGGACGTCGCCCGTGCCGGGACTCCTGCCCCTCGGGTGGGCTGTGGTGGGCACCCCGCCAGGCCTGGGCATGCCATAAACCTGAGAATACCTGGCTCCTTCGGAAGCAGATAGAGATCGGGGATGTTAAGGAAGCGGAGCGTTTCCAAGGGTGTGTAACGCGTCTCCTGCCTAGATGTGTCCCCTCCGCACCCGCGTCCTGCCCTCGCTTCAGTCCTCGTGCAAACTACACCAGCAGCCGGAGCCTCTGTCCTTGAGCTAATTGCTCAGGTTTCTGCAGAGGTTTCTGGTAGAGACTGTCCTTGTTGGGACACGTCCTCTGGCCCGTTGCAGTGAATCAGCACCCAGGACTTTCCACCAGATGTTTCTATAATGGCTTTCAAGGGTGAGAGGGGAATTTGCTGCTTTGGGGTGGCATTCGTCTGGGTAACACAGATCAGCCCTGGTGCTTCTGAGCATCCTTCCACCTCCAGAGTCTTTATCCTCTCATCTCCGTTCTCCTCTGCTGCCCCTTCCCCTGGTCCTGCTGCGGATCCTGCTGCAGCCTGGGCAGGAGGGAGGCTGGTCCTGTCTGCTCAGGGCCGTGGGTCCCAAGTCACATCAGTGAGGCCCGATTTCTCAAACTCTGCTTTCTAGAAACCTCACTCTTTTTCTGTTATTTATCTATTTTCCAGTGGCAAAGGTGTGTGTTCAAGCCCTCCTTTGCTCGTCTCCTCCTGGACGCCTGGGTCACGCAGCGGGATCCCATCGGGAGCGGGACGGACGCGCGTCCTGCCTGCGTTCCGTCACCCTGCCGTGCCGGGGGAGGCTGCGGCTGCCCCCCTGCCCCAGGACAGCTGGGAGCTCTGAGTAATCGTTGTCATGGACCGGGGATGGAAAGAGCTTGCAGTGCCTGCGTCCTCCCTGGCCTGGAAAAACAGGAAGCTTGCATTCCAGTTGGAAGACTTCAGTGTTAACTGGCCTTTCTTTCCCCCTCTTCCTTAAAAGGTTAAGGACAGAACTGCAAGAAAGATGTATTTGCTGTCTCTGTTCTTCAAGTTGCCTGGGACTGAGAAGCAACAGCTGCTGTCCTGTAAGCGTCGTAAACCAGGAGCCAACCCTGTGCTGGGGCTTCATTGAGGGGTTTCACCACGTGGGTCTGGTTAGGGCAGAGCAGTGACCAAACAGCAGCGAACAGGAGTGTCGGATCCGGGAGAGCCGCTCACAGCCACTGCCCAGCTCCTTATGCAAAAGTCTAAGCAGTTCTGGTAGGGGTTGAGGTGTTCTATAAACCAACACAGTCTATGTCTCTTTTGAGGGGTCTCTAGGCCTCCTTCTTCAGAAGCTCTGGTGTTTATTAGCCATCCTGTGAGCTCAAGAGCAGATATGCAGCCCTCCAATTGTAGGAGTTCTTCACTAGGGCCAATTGGTGTGCAAATTGCCACGTGTCTTTAACACCCTCCCCAGAGCAGCCAGGTCCTTCAGCTCTTTGGGCATCACCTGGATCATCTCCGTGCAGAGCAACCTCCGTGGAGCTCGGCTTTGTGAATTGGAAAGGCCAAGTCGACCTGGGTGAGACCTGGACCTGCGGCTCCAGAGAGTCTACAGGGTGAAAACACGAGGCTCGGGTAGGCAACGAGCCTGCCCTTTGGACAGAGCTGCAGATTGGAGGAGATTAGAGAACCTAATAGCGCGTAGCTAATTTTGGGGAGCGCGGACCGTGACCGCTCGGTGCGTCCGTAGGGCACGGTGTGTGTTCGGGCAGACGCGGAGGCTGCGGTGACGGATCCGATAGGGGTTGTGGTTGCTGCGTGCACGGCCAGGAGACGGATTCAGCCGCAGCTGCTACTTGTTCCACTATTTGACATGGAAATACCCAGGTTATGTGGAGTCCCCAAGCACGGGGAAGCGGTGCCTGCTGGCAGCCGTGGCTGTGCCGCACACACGGCTGCATCCCTGTCCCTTTTCTTTCAGGTTACTGCTGGGAAGAGGGTAAGGGACGGGGTAGGTCTGTGCCTGCCTGGCGAGGGGCAGCAGTCTCCAAAAGAGAGTGTGCAGGAACAGAACCCAAAGAGCCGCGAGGTGATGATTAAACAGGCTGAAAGATGCCAAGATGGGCCGTTGCCTGCCAAGCGGTTTTCCTGCTCCCTTGTTTATGTGACAGATGATGCAAACCCCTCTATGCAGCATTTTTCCCCGCAGAGAATGTAGCATTGAGTGTAAGGTTCCTTGGTTTTTCTTTTTTTGTGTTTTGTGCTCCTGTGCTTGTCTTTGCAGGAACCTTCCCCGGCTGCGGCGCGTTGGGCTGCAAGCTCCGCGGGTTCCTGCGGGCGCTCTGCTTCGTGCAGCCCGCACGCTCCCATCAGCTCGAAACCCGCACGGCATTTGCTGCCCGTATCCTCGCCCGACAGCAGTCCTGCTGCACCCCGTCATGGTCCTGCCCTCACCAGCACACACATTCCGGCCTCCAGCTTCCTGCCAGGCTGAAGGGGCTCTGCTCCGTGCGGATTCTGCTGCGTTTTCCCCAAAATCCATCCCGGAGCGGCCCCGGGAGGGCCGGACCCGCCAGGTGGAGCTCCGCTGACAGCAGCATTCGGGGCTGGCGCAGGCTGCAGAACCTGCTGCTCGCAGGGACATCGCGCCTGGAAAACGAAATTGCAAGGTGTTCTCTGGAATGGGAATTGCAGACTTTTTCTTTTTTTCTTTTTTTTTTGGTAAGTTCACTGTTAAAGAAAACAGAAATAGAACACTTATGTCATAAAAGTGTAAATGAAAAATTGGCAGTTAAAAAGCACAAAGCCCCTGTTACTTGCAATATTGCAGAAGTTTACACTCATTGCAGAATAGGGTCTGATCTGTTTACTTTGATGAAAAACTGTTTGAATTAGCCCAGAACCACGTTACTATTTCACTGCTTGTTGTTCACACTGCAGATGCTCTGGATTTGCTCCGTTCTTGTGGTTTAGGCTGAGATCTGAGGGCCTTGCCTAGACCATTTCATAAACCTCCAAATGTCTTGTGTTGCAAAACCTCTTCTTTTAAGCGCCAAGAAGACACTGGGTGGAAAGAGGGGAATATCTGGGAGTCTTTTAAGGGTCTGCCTTGGTTTGATCTGCTCTGGTGGTGTGTTTCAAGGTGCAGTTGCAAGGGCAGCTGCTGGGTGCTGAAGGGTTAAGCTGGATGCGATCTGCTCCAGA